CAGCCCGCGCCGCAGCCCGCGCCGCAACCAGCACCGCAACCAGCACCGCAACCAGCACCGCAACCAGCACCACAACCAGCACCGCAACCAGCACCGCAGCCGGCGCCCACGAGAGCAACCCCAGAAACACCTTCACCAAAGCCGATGACGGCTGCTGAAAGACTTGGCGGCTATTCCTCGAAGCCCAAACCGGCGGCGCAGCCCCCACCGGCAGCACAGCCAACCCCTGCAGCGCAGCCCCCACCGGCGGCGGCAGAACCGCAAGCTGAGCCCCAGGCTTCGGAAGAAGCCGGGGTGGACGTTCGAGACATGACGCGGTGCTACTCCGGGCTGCACTTCATGGATTTGGAGGCTCTGGATGCTGCACTAGCGGAGACACACGAACAGGTCTCGGAGCTGGAACAGTCCAAGAGCAGATTGGCTGCCTTCCAGGAGCATTTGGATGCATGCGGCGGTGACTTGGCCAAGCTTGCCGAAAGCTATAAGACATTCGGTCTCCAGCGAGACGGCTCTGAATGGACATACTGCGAATGGATGCCCTATGCAGCCGCAGTTTATCTGGTTGGGGATTTTAATGGCTGGGACACCAGCGCCACGCCGCTGGCACAGGCCTGGCCTTCTTGCCGTAATGCACTCCTGAAGCACACCCGTATGACGACAGTCCGCCCACAGCGGCAGTAGCAGCGGCAGCATAATCATACCCAAATTAGGACATTAAAAGGTGATGGCCTTGCAAGCCCTCAGAACTGTGTGTTCACAATAGGCTAGACATGATTTTTTGGAATGCACAGGCACAACTTCCTTGTATTCCTTCTGTAAGTGCGAGTCCCTCAGGAGGAGTCGCTGCCGGACATTTGGAGCTGCAGCATTCCGACCATGCCGATCGGCTCCAAGTACAAGCTCTACGTGGTGCCTGAGGTCGGACCATCGGAGGGGTTCCGCCTAGTCTACAATCGCGAGTGCATCACAACACACAGCATTAGACAAATGATGGAGAGTCCCGAAAAGGAGCATCAGGCATAAGTTTAGGGTTTATAGGGTTTAGGGTTAATGAACCCTAAAACCCTCAACCCTTCACACGGGCTGACACTGTCATCTCGAGGAACCTTTGTACCCGCCTTGGATGCACAGCTGAGTCCGGGCCTGGGGCCGCATGAAACCATGGGCACCCTAAGCTTAAATTTGGTTATCCCAAGATGTCTATGGTATACTACAGATATATACTATATAATATACTATTACAAATATACTATAAAATACTAGAACATACTGTTACGATAATCTGCTGTATTATAGTAGAACATACGATAATCTACTCTGTGGTTTCGTACGCCCCTTTTGCAGGATGGCGACGCCTACTATGCCATGCCGGCCTGGGCCACCCGCTTCACCGGGCCGAATGACATGAAGCTTCCCGTCTCACCAAGTGGAGGAACATCCTGGGATTCGTGGCGCTTCAGATTCAGGGGGTAGGGGTTTAGGGTTCAGGGTTTAGGGTTCAGGGTTTAGGGTTCAGGGTTCAGGGGGTAGGGTTCGGGGATTGTATATCTTTGTCATTCCTCTCTGGGTTGGACAGGGGGCCAGGGTTCCATATGGTTCCTTCCAGGGGCTCTTTTCATCTACCCAGGGACCCCAAACAGAATCCAACTATGGACAGACCGGCTCAAGCAGGGGTTTAAGCCCCAAGGCCTGCTTCCTTATGCCAATCCCTAACCGTAGAGTAGACCTTCGAGAAACCATATATAATCACCCTTTAAGGAGCCCTTCAAGGAACCCGGAAAAGGAACCCCTGAAAGGAACCTTCATGGCGAAAAGTAGTAGATCTTATGGAAATACCATGAAACACCTACAGGAGCCCTAAGCCCTAGACCCAAACCCTTAAAGGAACCTTCTGAGGCTTCTGGATGCCATCGTCCACCCCGTGGATGGAGCAGGGCCTGGAAGGCTCGAAGTCCCCCCGGAGACGCTCCAAGGCCCCTGCTTCGCTGAACATCTGAAAACTGCATCGAACAATCTCCTATGGTCTAAAATGTATATACTACTCTACCTCTCTCTCTCTCTCTCCCTCCCTCTCGCTTGCTCGCTCGTGCTCTCTCTCTCTCTCTCTCTCTCTCTAAGTCTGTCTGTTCTGTCTCTCTCTCTCTCTCTCTGTCTGTCTGTCTGTCTGTCTGCCTGTTTGTCTGTCTCTCCCGCTCTCTCTCTCTCTCTCTCTCTCTCTCTCGTCGTACATGGCCAAACTGACGACAATCACTACCAACCTATACTCAATACTGTATAAGCACACAAAATTACACTGTACACACAAACACACTCGTATAACACATCCTCGCAAACATGTGCATGCGAGCCTGTCTCGGCAAAACCCCCATACCGCACTGCTCATTGTAACACAAAACCCCCTAGAGCTCCAGGTAGAAATCATCTGTCCCTTGGCCACCTAGTGTTTGATTAGTAATCTAACTGGTATTTGGGCAAATGGAGCCCTCAAGTACAGTTTGGGTTTCACGGTTTCTAATTTAGGGGTTTAGGCTAGAGTTTCAAGAGTTCGAGACAAAGAATCCCTGCTTTTGAAAAAGGGTTCCAAGTGCGGCAGCAAAGCTTGGGACCCGGCACTTCAGAAACAGATTTAGAGTGTAGGGCTTAGGGTTTAGGATAGGCTACAAAGAAGCATAGGTTGCAGGGTTCCCTTTGTAGAAAAACGATGCAAGCTTTCAGTACCCTCGTCTGTCCTGAATGCTTCCGGCACCTCGGACATCGCCTCCGTGGCGTCAGACTCCTTTGCCGCTTTAGGGTTTAGGGTTTGGGGGTTTAGGGTTCACGGTTTAGGGTTCAGGGTTTCGGATCTAATGCTCAGGAATCCAGAGGGTCCAAGTACCGATATAGTCGGCTCTTCGTAGCTCTTTGGGCCCCCAAAGTATATACTGTTACTGTTACTCGGACCCTTTTAGGAAAGGAAAGTAACCCTCGCGTGGGTTTCAGTAAGTGCTGAGATCTGAACACCTACAAAACCACGCACTGTAACTTCTACTCGCCAGACTGTTGGGCCACTGCTGCTCCTCATCCAGGATCTCGCATATATATGTAACTAGATATATATATTTTTATACTTATATATATATATAATTAGATAGATATATATATATATATATTTATTTGTTATTTATACTTATATATACATATATGTATAATTATATATACATATATATATATATACATACATATAATTATATGTAAAAAGCTATATACATATAAATACAAGTATAAAAATACATATACATGTGTGTATATATATATATTTATTTATTTATCTATCTATCTGTATACATACACATACACATACACCTACACCAACACATACACCTACACATACACGTACACATAGACATACACACAGACAAACACTAACGAACAATCTTAGACACCAGAATGCCTGTACTTCATGTTCTTCTACATTATGAGGCTTTGCGCGCTTGTTGTTGCAGGGCATGTTCCCCTTCCCGGGTGTTTCAAAAGGTTCTGCGGACTGCTTTGGACTGTGCGCGACCGTGACAAACTTGCTACCAAGAACCATGGATGCCGGTCATTGCACACATCTTCCTGCTGTCTTATGATCACCCCTACAAACCAGGCCTGATCCTAAAGCTATCAGCTCGATTTCCTGGGCCTCGGTTGATCATTTCCCGACCTCTGTGCATCTGAGTGCCCTACCTTCGTCTCTGCGATGGCAACCTGGTGTGGATCCCGACTTGGGCCCGAGGGCTTCAGGGCTCGGGCGTTAGCTTTATAGGCTGCGGTCTGACAAGCTTCGATGCTTCCTGTAGGACTGTAGGCGGTTGAAGCCTGCAATAAGTTGCTAGGTCCTGCTGGCGAGATCCTGCTACTTCGAGTCTCTAGTCTGGGAGAACGAAGCCTCCGAGAGGAAGCGGATGTTCCTCCTTGCTGCTGCGCCTGCAAGCCGTCCGATGAAAATTACCAGTTAACGTCGCCATCTTCTCAAATCGACGCACCGTCGATTCTCCGGCATGTCCACCGGCCGATCACACCACGCCAAACTACTCTTGAACGGAAACGCTGACCAATCTCCGGAGCTCTGACTACAAGCCTACAGTTCCCACCTGCTAGACCACAGGAAACTATGTGCGGGTTTGACTAGTCACCCTTAAAGGGCCGCAAAGCCACGCTTAGCACACCAACACCTATTCAAACATCTGCATAAATCCCCCTGAAAGAGCTCGAAACCTCAAACATAAACCCTATCCCTATCTGTAAGCCCTAATCCCCCTGAAAGAGCTCTAAACCTCAAACAAAACCCCTATCTGTAAGCCCTAGATTCCCTAGATGAGGAATCCTAAACCTCAAACAAAAACCCTACCTGAAAGCCCTAGATGAGGAATCCATCCGGGCCCTTGGCAAAGATCAGTCGCCGGAGCGAGGAAACTGTGAGGAGCTGACTCTCGATGGCGGCGCCCCTCCACTTTCTGTAGGGTCCCATAAGCGCTCTTTTGGGTTTAAAGTATATAGGGTTTAGGGTTTAGGGATAGGGATTCTTCAAGAGTTCTCTAAGCCTTCGAGAAGGAATCTAGAAGGGCTGGATATAAGGAATCGATAAGGGTTCCGCACGGGTTTAGGGTATAGCATTTGCCTGTTTCCCGCCTTTTTTGCGGATCCTCGCAATCAAGCTCCTATGTTTCAGCTCCATAGGTCGCTTCTTTACTAGAGGTTCTCGAGGAAAGGGATCCCTTTGCGAGGATCTTCGTAGGATTTAGGGTTTAGGGTTTAGGGCGATGCTGCATGATCCAGCTCTCTATGGCTTCACGTTCGGGTTCCTGATGATCGAAACTTCCATACCTATGGAGTCGTCGAGAACAGGAGTTTAAAGATTCAGGGCTCAGGTTTCAGAGCTGATGGCCTATTCTTGTAGAGACTTACGCCCTTAAGCGCCCGCTAGACCGGAGTCGTTCTTTGCGGCTTCGTCTTGCGACTAGCAGGAGTATGAGTCCCCAGTACAACCTTCAAGAGACAATCGAACCGCCTGAGACGATATCAATTGCACCAGGACATGTTGAACGCCAAATCTCCTTCCGACAAGCTGTAGAAACGATGAGCTCTACAACGCGCCCTGGGCCCCATAAACCCTGCCCCTAAACCCTAAACCCCTGCACCCCTAAATCCGAGCCTTCGCCGCGTCGAGTTGATCAGAACGGTCATGAGGAGCTGAACCTTTGTCGTCCACTTAGGGTCCCTCTGCGGATTCCTTAAAGGGATCTATAAGGGTTTCTATAGGGTTTCCATAAGGGTACTATTACGGTACTATATGGGTAGTTCTATAATTTAGGGTCCCTGTTCATCTGCATTCCCGAAGTACTCTTGAACACATGCTCAACCACTATCATGTCTGTTCCCTTGTACGGGAGTTCTTCCTAAAGGGAGCCGAGCTTCTGGGCTTCTCCTGTCGGGCGGAAATAGGTTTAGGGTTTACGGGTTTAAGGGTTTAAGGGTTTAGGGGTTTAGGGGTTTAGGGTTTAGGGCTTAGGGGTTTAAGGGTCTAGGGGTTTAGGGTTTAGGGATTTAAGGGTTTAGGGTTTAGGGAGAAGAGTGCTTCCCGTCAAGCATTCCGACTCCCTGCAGGATAAACCATAGTAGTCGAATCGGGATTCCAAACCGGCAACTTCCTTCTTTTAAGAATACGCTCCGTCTGGCACGGATCCCTAGTACGAGACCCAATTTTCGGAAATCCCAATACTAAGACGACGAAGAAAAACGCTAGAACGCATATTCATCATAATCATAACAACAACAGTACTACATAAGAATCCTAAACGACCCCCCGTCGGGCTGGGTTCAGGACTTAGGCTCCAGGGCTTGCTGGAGTCTTGGGCAGGGGGGGGGCTTTGTTTCAGTTGGGTTTCATGGTTTAGGGTTTAGGGTTTAGACTATACCAGCTATGACATCAAGCAAAGCATCTCACGTCCTCAACATCCCCATTGTGGTAGCTCCAACTTAGCGCTATTACATAGTAGCACGCTAACAAAGGCACTATGTTAATCGCCCTTCGGATCTCTCAACTCAAGATGACACATCATTCCTAGGAGCACTAAAGGATACAGTCCCAAACCCTAAACCCAAACCCTAAACTTAAACCCTAAACCCTAAACGCCAAAACCGTAACCCTAAACCCTAAACCCCAAAACCGTAACCCTAAACCCTAAACCCTAAACCCTAAAACCCTAACCCCAGACCCGTAACCCTAAACCCAATCCCAGCTCGGGATCGGCCTTCAGTGGCCACCAGAGGTCTCCATTTTCCCTAGGACCAGCCAAGGATGCTCACCTCCCCACCACACCCGGAGCCCTTAGGGTTTGGGGTTTAAGGGTTTAAGGGTTTACGGTTTAGGGTTTAGGGGTTTGGG